CCCCAAAACCCCAAAACCCCAAAACCCCTCACAGCACTAAAAATAAAATAAATAATTAAGAACTTCCCAAAATGAGCTTAGAACAAAGAGTCCGGAGACTAAACAGAGGTCTCGCCCGAAGAAGAGAAAGTCATGATGCAGCCAAGGAAGGAGTAAACTTCCGGGTTGGAGGCGGATGGACTAGGGCAGAAAGCAAGTGAGTTTTGGGTGCAGGAGGGTAGTGGTTGAGTGAAGGTTGGCAACTGTTTAAGGGGGAATTTGGGAAGATTGGGGGCGTGATTGGTGTTTTGGAGGAGTTATTTTTGGACTGGATAGATGATTATACAATTTTTAATTGAGGATATTGTAGTCTTCGTTTATTATTTATTAATCTATGGAATTTGAAGCTCATTCACTGCTATAGAAGTAATAGGAAGGATAAACTTAAATAAACTAAATTTTAACAGATTCGTTAAGACAAAGAATAAGAGAGAAGAGTCAAATAACCTTAAAGAGATCAGAGGAAGGATTGTCGAGAAGGGATTACCACCTTTGAGGAACAGAAATATAGTCAAATCTTACGATTATGGTAGTGCCTCTATTTAATACTTCATTCTTAAAAAGACTTAGCTCTGTTCAGTTCTAAAAATAAATTTTTGTTAATGAGACTATTACCCATATAGAGAACGACTACCAAGAGAGGAATGCTGAAGTCACAAGTAGCGAATTACCCTGGCACCATCCTAGCAGATCTTTTAGGGCAAATAAAGTAGTAAATTTAGTCGAGGGACCTATGATGCAACTACTGGCTTGTTCTTCAACAGGCTCTGGACTTATCAATGATCAAAAGAATGAACTGCCACGAGGAGCTCTCAATAGGAACTTTACGACTAGGAACTCGAGCTGAGTGGACCCTGACGATAAGGACAAGATTTACATTAAAAGGCATTTACTCAAGACCAGAGGTGTAACTGCAATCACTAAGTCTATCAATGCTGATACCTCTGAAGCGTTCAAGAGGATCAGACAGATACAAAAGAAAAAGTCACAAAAAGATACCAAAAAGTTAGAAAAAATTGATCTTAGCAAAATGATTCAGAAGACTAATAAAGAATTTAATATTGCTCTTTATGACCTTCGCAAAGCAATGCATGATATGAAACCGAAATTGTTGCTGCTAGATACTCCGACTGAGTTTGAAGTTATTGATGCGATTCCAACCTTGTTTAAAGTCCCTCTTGAAGAAGTGAGGACACCTGTCAGGATTCTCATCACTTATCTCAGTAATGTTAGAGGTATTTTATTAAATAACTCTTAGATCTAATTGTTTACTATTCATGGAAGAATCCTGACCCTGATCAAGCAAATCATGATGGAGCTTATAGAAATCCAACAAAAATTTCCCTCAGGAATCGCAACAATAACACATTTTCAAGGGAGTAATATTTGTTTCATATTTATAGATGTAAAGCTTATTTTTCTTTGCATTCTCACAATGGAAATTACGTTAAAATCATTGCCAAATCAGGAAAAGAGAGGAATGGAAACTCCCTAAATCTTGTCAAAGAGAACAAAGAATATGTTGCTATTAGTCAAAAATCGATTTTGGACAGTAAACTAGCCGATTCCATGATCACTACAATCCAAGAAATGAAATCTTCAAACGAAGCATACATTCCTGAGACCAATATGGAGCCTAAACTCAACAATCTCGCCAACGATCCTCTCCACTTCCAAGCTTTCAGCATGGTTGTTGACAAGGTTAAGGAAAAAATGAAAAAGCGAAATTTAAATAAACAAGGCGACAATTTCCTCAAAAAGAACATTGCCTTAATAAAACGTTGGCATGAATACAACTACGAAAAGCGCCAGAAGGCCGAATTCACCAACCTAAACATCGAAAATGCCCAACGGAAATAAAGAGTTGATCCTGAAGTACAAGAGGGAGAGGAAGGGCATTATGGATCAGGAGAAGCTTAAAGTGAAGGAATATGAAAGACAGCAGAAGAAGTTACAGAATTTAGTGCATTCTTGGGCCCTTCTGCTCGCACAGAGTAAGATGGTATCAGCAGTTAATGGCTTATTTCAAAGCAAACTTTATATGCAACATCTTCAGGAGCAGAAAGAGTTTATCAGTCTAAGGGTTAATTTTGTTCATCATGTGTATCTTAAAAAGCGAGGCGAGAGCCTCGCCGTTAGAATACATAGAGAGATGAATCGGTAATTTCAGTTTAACCTTTATAGCTCTCTAACATTTAGTAATGTCTTGGTGAGGATGAAAGCAGCTACAGCTGCTAAAACTCTGAAAACTTTCTTGGAGAATAAAATAACTATTCGAACCTTTAACTCCAAAGTGATGATGACTCATATGAGACTAACCAGACTAGCAGAGTTCTGAAGGAAGAATTATATCGAAAATGAGAGGAAAAGAGATAAACTTGATTTCATCTGGAAAATCGCTCAAGGAAATCTTATCAGCAAATTTAGTGCAGATAAATCTCCAGAATCTCGAATGAAGGAAAAGAAGCTGATTGAATTTGATCCTGATCTTTAAAAAGCAGATTCTTACTGAATATCTCGATAGGTGCAAGCTAAGACATTCCAATATGTTTTACAAGTGGAGAACTCATAATGAAGGTAAATTTAGAACGAAATTTTGTTGTTGAAACTCTTTACTCAACGTCTCTAGGTAAACGAATGGGAACAAATAATTCTGGCCTGGGTTCAACAGGAATATTTATGATAACCCAAGGCAATCAAGGGCCTGATAATGACAAGATCATTTCATTAAGGCCTCTTGGATATTACAAAGGAGATAAGCGTGATCTTAATGAGAGTTTGAAATAAGCTCCAGGCTCTCAGTAAGTCGATTTTAGTTTCCCAAATGTATGATATATAGATAACAATTCTTTACAAAATACCAATGATTCAGCAATACCAACACATCTAAGAAAAAGAGATGATTATAGCGACTGTGAGCTTTCACTAGAGTCGGACAATGAAGAAGAATTTGAAGCAGAAGCAATACAGTACCTAGAAGGGTTACTCAGATTGGAAGTACCTCCGGTGCTAATCTACATTCCAACTGAGAAAGTCATGAGACAGCTAATACTCATGAACCTTTAAGATCATTCAATGTAGAATATACTTTTAGGGGTTTTGGGGTTTTGGGGTTTTGGGGTTTTGGGGTTTTGGGG